ATTATTTCAGAATTTTTGTCTTACACAGTTCTTACAACACTAATTATCCTCTTATGGAATGCTAAGTTTATTGTAATTACTACATATATTGAAAGTTCAGTCACGATAGCCACAAAGAGGCCTAAATACTGCTATAATGAAGAAATCACTTAAATAAAACCTGCTTCACTTAAATAAACATTTATACACTTAGAAACACACACACACATATATATGTGTTTACATATCTATATCTAGCTATTTATCTATTTAGCTATATATATATATAGTATATACATATAGATAGATATAGTTATATAGATATAGATAATGATGATATATATATATATATATATATATATATATATATATATATATATATATATATATATATATATATATATATATATATATATATATATATATATATATATATATATATGAAATAGATAGATAGATAGATAGATAGATAGATAGATAGATAGATAGATAGATAGATAGATAGATAGATAGATAGATAGATAGATAGATAGATAGATAGATAGATAGATAGATAGATAGATATTTTTGTTTACTCTTTTTATGCCTAGACCCTAAATCATCCATGCTAGAAGGTTGATTGTACAGGGCCTGGTTCTGTTGTGCGGTTACAGGAACGTTTTCTTCTCCATTGCCACTTCATACTTACTACATGCTCTTTCAGGAGGAGTAAATTCTGCAAACTGTTCTCCATAGAGCTGAAGGTATGACTCCAGACAGTATGTTATTTCCCAGCAGTGACCAATTGCACCCATGCTCTATATACTTTTGACTTAAAAAAAAGATGCAAAACAAAAATTACATAATTTGTATGCAATATTTTAGATTTTTATTTCAGACAGTTTGTTAAAAGAATAAGTAACCTAGCAAACTGAATTAATTATAATATACATGAGTATATTGATTATAATATTATAATTGACATGAGTCAAGCATTAAAACACAGTGAGGTTTGCTTCAAAGACTGCACAAAAGTTTTAAGTTAGGTTTTATTTCTGTTATCTAAAATGATTTTTAAGTGAACAATGTACAATAATATACCAGGGACAGATAGTTCTGGGTACAGTGGGGACTGTAAATAACTACATATACCCGAGCAACAGCAGAACTTGATTCTTTAGAAGAATATGAAGATCAATGCTGAATGTTTTCTTAATATGTTTTTGTTAAGACATTGCTGTCTTAAAAAATGGCCTCATTACTGGAGTGTCCTAGTTCTGAATAGCTATCTATATATATATATCTATATATAGATATATATATGCCCTTTCATTTCCATATATAGTATACAAACTACAAACCTTTATGTAGCTTATTTAGACTTTATGTGATAGAGCAACAAATATAAATGCATGCTTGTGAAGGAATAGATTTTTGATACAACTAAGATGTGCCTTAATAAGATATAAGGCAACTACTAACATTAGGAGTTCATCTTATGCAGTACTTTTCAATCCACCATTAAAACATTGAAATCAGTCAAAAATTCGAAAGTAACCCCTGAAGGAACTGGATGGCTTGAAACCTGTCAATGAACTGAGCACCTACACTATATTGCCAAAAGTATTTGCTCACCCATCCAAATTATTGGAATCAGGTGTTCCAATCACTTCCATGGCCACAGGTGTATAAATTCAAGCACCTAGGCATGCAGACTGTTTTTACAAACATTTGTGAAAGAATGGGTCGCTCTCAGGAGCTCAGTGAATTCCAGCGTGGAACTGTGATAGGATGCCACCTGTGCAACAAATCCAGTCGTGAAATTTCCTCGCTCCTAAATATTCCACAGTCAACTGTCAGCTGTATTATAAGAAAATGGAAGTGTTTGGGAACGACAGCAACTCAGCCACGAAGTGGTAGGCCACGTAAACTGACGGAGCGGGGTCAGCGGATGCTGACGCGCATAGTGCGAAGAGGTCGCCAACTTTCTGCAGAGTCAATCACTACAGACCTCCAAACTTCATGTAGCTCAAGAACAGTGCGCAGAGAGCTTCATGGAATGGGTTTCCATGGGCGAGCAGCTGCATCCAAGCCATACATCACCAAGTGCAATGCAAAGCGTCGGATGCGGTGGTGTAAAGCACGCCGCCACTGGACTCTAGAGCAGTGGAGACGCGTTCTCTGGAGTGACGAATCGCGCTTCTCCATCTGGCAATCTGATGGACGGGTCTGGGTTTGGCGGTTGCCAGGAGAACGGTACTTGTCTGACTGCATTGTGCCAAGTGTAAAGTTTGGTGGAGGGGGGATTATGGTGTGGGGTTGTTTTTCAGGAGCTGGGCTTGGCCCCTTAGTTCCAGTGAAAGGAACTCTGAATGCTTCAGCATACCAAGACATTTTGGACAATTCCATGCTCCCAACTTTGTGGGAACAGTTTGGAGCTGGCCCCTTCCTCTTCCAACATGACTGTGCACCAGTGCACAAAGCAAGGTCCATAAAGACATGGATGACAGAGTCTGGTGTGGATGAACTTGACTGGCCTGCACAGAGTCCTGACCTCAACCCGATAGAACACCTTTGGGATGAATTAGAGCGGAGACTGAGAGCCAGGCCTTCTCGTCCAACATCAGTGTGCGACCTCACAAATGCGCTTCTGGAAGAATGGTCAAAAATTCCCATAAACACACTCCTAAACCTTGTGGACAGCCTTCCCAGAAGAGTTGAAGCTGTTCTAGCTGCAAAGGGTGGACCGACGTCATATTGAACCCTATGGATTAGGAACGGGATGTCACTTAAGCTCATATGTGAGTCAAGGCAGGTGAGCAAATACTTTTGGCAATATAGTGTATTTGCAAAAATAAATCTATTAATAAAATATTGTTGTAAGAAGCCCTGTTGAGATTTTGCTGAAAAGCCTAAGAAAACATCTGCAATACACATGTGCCAGAGGCAGATATTGATCCTCTATAACAACAGCCATACAGTGATAGCCATAATTGGTACATATGCCTTAGTCCAGCACATCTCTTAGTCCAAATCCAGTTGAGAATGATAGGCAAAGCTTAAAAGAGGCACATTAAGACACTCACTATCTCTTGTAAGAAAACAAGGTGTAATTTTAGTAAGGTATATGTTGTAGAACTTTCAGCCTCTAGATCTGCTAAGCTTAAAACAAACACCAAGAACAAAAGGCTGTAATCACAGGAGAAGTTGGCTCTTGCATTGACTCAGAGGTGTAAATACTGCAGAGGGAGAAAATATTGTTTACCACAAATTGATCAAAAGTTCACTACATTTTTTTTCTGTAGGTAATTGAAACTGTGGGGAGTGTCATAATGAATTGTGTGTTGTATTCTGCCATGAGACTCAAAGGAAATTCTTCCAGTTGTAGCTTTTTACCATACCGGGTATGTTGGTTCTACACCATTTTGTTGTGAAAGCAGGGAACTTCTACAGAAAACCGTAGATGACACCTTAGCGAGAGGCTGTACATACACTGCAGTAGCAGAAGCAGAAAAATTTGTGAGTTTACTTAAAGCAGTAGAATCAAGAGCAGAGATCTTTATAGCCAAGGGACTGTTTTCACTGCAGTAAACCTGCTTCATAATTTTTAAAACACCAAACAGAATATGCAGCAATGTCTGAAAGAATTCCCACAACAGTTGCAAGAACAGTTTAACTACTTCAGCTGAGGGAAAACAAGCAAACATTAAATTTGCATATGTAATGTCCATTGGTCTTTAAATATATAAGACAACTTTGTAAAACATGTATGCTCTGTGGGTTAAATTGATTATGTATATCAACACATCAAGATAATCTGAAATTCTACAAGAAAATGTACACAACAAATGTCATAGTTTGGAACTGTAAAACAAAAAAATATCTTCCACTTTAATTTAAGCCTAACATTAACTCCCAATATAATATGCTGATGTTTTGGTGTAAAAACACAATGTGTCACAACAAAGCTAGAGAGTGTATATACTTGTAAGAAGCAGTCTATGCCAAACTTCACACTTTCCCTATTTTTTTTTACAAGAACTACTGACCTCTTTAACACTGGCTATGCTCCAAGGTACACAATGCCTCTCTCGCTTAGTAAGAAGACAGAATGATAAGGTCAAAGTCCCACTAAGCTGTATTATTAAACTGTATGTCAGGCAATGATCCAAGAGAGAACGTACTGTCTGGAGTCATTGATTGCTGCTGTAACTGACTTCACAAAAGAGTCTCGACAGTGGAGCTGGGTCTTTACAGAGATTACCAAAAGACACAAGCGCAGAACAAAAGGACATGCCACCAGACATGTCTAAGATGCTGTAAACCTCAGCATCCTCAGCAGACGCAGCATCTTTTTCTCAAACACACATACAACCGCACACTCAACTGATTTAGATGGCGATGGTGTGGGAGCCAGAACCTTATGAATCTAGAATGTTCCACAGCCTCATTATGAGCTCTGCTGGCCAGCTCTACGAGCATTTAGGGCCAGCGGCCATCAAGCAACTGTCACTTCTCTTCAGCACAGCTCTGCTTGCTTCATGCTGCTGCATGTGTGTGTTTCGTGGCATGTCTAAGAGCCTGTGTGTCATGAAGGGGCAGTAAAGGGTGAAAAATGTGTCTTCTGTATGATGAAGTTATTCACACCAGATTGAGAAGGAAGATTGTAAAGCTTTGTGTCAAAAACTGGATTCTTTTGGGTCTGGTCATCCTCTTGCTACATATACCTCCATTAGCTAGTTTACATATTCAGAAAAACTGTCTATGTCTAATGGTAGGCCATCATTTTTCTCCTGGGTAGTGTCATGTGACCCACAGATGCCAATGTCATGTGACCTAGATTAAACAGCTTGAATCACAGTGTGGAAAGACAATGTGTCATACTTGAGATTCTGGCATCCTGTTACTTTCTGCAGGATCACACGACCTCCATCCAATAACTCCCCTGAGCTCTGTCATCTCTGACAGCCCTGAGAGAATATGACACCTATGCAAGGACACTAATATCAAAGTATGACATACAGGGAGAGTTGTATACTCACCACACATTGCACCACAGTGGCAGTCGAATACTTCTTTGTTTCTCCTCTTTATCCAGGCATTTTTTTAGTGTTTCCTTTCCTTTTTTGTCCTGTGTGTTTTTAAACCTCTTTCTCCTTTTCCCTCACCCCCCTTTCCCCCTTCCGACCGCTACTGTTCAGGTCCAGCTCTGTCACTGGTGAGAAAAATCCTTCCACACGTTGACACAGCTTGACACAGCTGGCTTCAAAGCTTAGTGCAAACACACATTAATCGATACACCAACATATTTGCAAAAAAAAAAAGCAGTTTATCCACCAAGGCTGCCCCACATTAACACAGCTGGTCGATCAACAGCAGGATGGAGAGTCTGGCAAATCTTCATCAGATGGAAATGATTCAAGTCAGAGGGAAGGCAGTTTCTGACTTAAAACCCTAATAATATCAAGTGCCTTTGAGACAAAGGCAATGAGCATATTTTGCCATCAGGAATCCTTTGTGCCAAGGCTGATTAGAGAATCTCCTTGCGTGTTTCCTCAAGAGGTCCTCCACTGGTAAAATCTCTGTAATGAGGCCATTTTCTTAGACAGAAAACTGCTCCAGTGAGTCCAACACAAGATAATTATAAAAAAAGTCTCAAAAATATTGGTTAATTTCACCTGGCAGAGATTCAACGTTGCATTTCAGCCCAGTGTACTCAGGTCTGTTGCTCTTTAAGATGATGACATTTTCTAATAAAAACTATTCCTCTTGATGATGTTGCTGTCGACGTCATTGTCAAACTTTTCTCCTTTCAATCATCCAAATGTATCCGAGAGGCTTCATTGCTGGCCGAAGGTTCGTCTGGGAGCCAGCTCTGGCCACTTTTTGGCAACTTGCATTAATGTGAGGCATTAATTATGGCCATCATGTGATGCAGGTTGTCTGTGGACGTGTAAAAATCCTGCAGAATAGAAAATCAGTTACACAAGTTCTTTCCAAAGTGGCTTGTCAGCATAAATTATTAACAGGTACCTTGGGATGTTTTTATATCAAAGTTGAGGTTTCCTATCCTATGGTTGAATTATCCTCCTTGTTTTTTCTACTTTTTCTGTACATTACTTTTGTGTGGCCTATGTCTCTTTTCCATTCTCTTTGTGGTCAACCCTACTTAAGCCTTCTCTTACTTGTAGAGCACTGGCTTTCCCTCTCCTTACAGCTAATAAACAGTCACTAAATACTTTTTATAGTATGCAATGGTTCATTAATGTAGCTGTCCTGACCTTTCCCTCCATGGTCTTTTCAGCAAACCGTCACTCAACCTTCCCTCAGTCACCTTCAGTCATACTAAACGCTTAAGTTCCTAAACTCACCCTCCGGCAAGCTGTTTCACTTGGCCTATTTCTCACTGCCCCCAAGCAAGGCAGCCTCCTTCCTCATCCAGTCCTCCGCCTGTCCGGTGACAGCTCACTACTGTTCAAGCCCCTTCTGTGTTTGCTCCATATTTCTCCTCAACATCCCTTCAGGACTGCTCCTGCAGCTTCTCTTGCATTCAGAATACAGTGTCTCCTTGCTGCTGTGCTCTGAGTCATACGGCTCACTCTCCTCCCTTTTCCTTCCAGAAGCTTGCAAATGCCCACCCCCCAGCCACCTCACCCAACCCTCCTTTTTGTCTTTTTTATGGTGGTGCCTCGTCTGTCTAAGAACCCATCAGGATTGGTTCAGCATGTGTTTCCATCCCTATCACTATAGGAATGCCTTTGCATCATCCGGTCGAGGATTGCCTGTAGAGAGACAGTAAAGCAGTAATACAGAATAAAAAGCTTGTCAGCCAGAAATGGCAGGTATTTAAATTTTTGTTTCATCCTAGAGTTCTTGTCTTAGTTTAATTTCCTCTAAGTTGGAGAAATATCGTAGGTATATGGTTGTCTCTGGTGTGCATATGTTCTTGACTCTCCTCCATTAGTTTAAAGCCTGCTGTTGGTTCTTCAAGTAGCTGTCAGGGGGAATACAGTACAGTAAATATTGCCTGAAAACACAACAGGATAACAGAGAGGTGCCTTGAAAGGAAAACAGAGCAACCAGAGAAGAAGGATGTGCATGAAAAAGATGCCCTAAGGAAGTACGGAAGTGACAGCAAAGGAGATACAAATGGAGAGAGGAAAGGAGAAGATGAGGAGGCGGAGGACGAAGGGGATGAGGAAAAGAGCAGAGGAGGAGGGAGCTTTTGTGTGGGTGGAATGGAGACAATATTGTGGATGTATGGAGAGTGAAGGGAACATGGGTAAAGAGGAGATGACTGGATGTGAGGCACATGACCAAATGAAAGGATGGCTACAGTTCATGAAACATAGTATATGCATAAGTTTGTGAATGGGTGGCCCTTCAGCTAAATAATGTCTCATGCACCAGATCAGAACAGGCCCTTCTAACATTATAATCATTAATACAAAAACTAGTGAAAAGATCCACAGTAGTTATCTGATTTGAAAACACAGGTTGAGGTTTTACCTGTGTGGGATCCCTGTCCTCTCTTTGACAGCGCACTGCTCCTCCTTCTCTATTTTTTTCCTTCCTCATTCCTCTTTGTCTGCTGCTGCAGCCTCTGCTATATCACTAAAAAGCAGCATTCCTCTTCCCTCTCTCCACCTCCTTTCTGTTCTGCCTCTCTCATTTCCCTCCCTTCTTTTCCCTCCATGCTCCTCTCTATATTTGTCCTCCACTGCTTGTGCCTCTGTCTCCACATCTCATATGCTCACCCTTCCCATCCCTGTCTCCACCCCCCCTCATATTCCATCAGTGCCTCTCCAACTCCCTCTCATCTAGTTTTCCATCCTACGCTTGCTGTTACCCCCCCTCTCTGAGGGAAGCTTCGAGAACACAGTGGACAGACTCGGGTACAGGAGAGCTCTAAAGACATGTAGAAAGGCGTTCATTACTCTTCCTTATGAATAAAACACTCACCAATACATTCATGTATACATTGGCTTGAACAGCCTGACAAAAGAAGAAAGGGTTTGTGATGCATTAAAAAAAACGGATCTGTGGCACAGCCTCAGATTAATCTAAATTGATTATTTAGTACAAACAGATATAGACAATGTTCACATGATAGCAGGTACTGCATTTATAGACATTCTGACGTTGAATGAAAACATCTCAGCTCTTTTCACAGTTACTTTATCATGAGCCAATGAAGCTCAAATTGATGTTGCTGGAAAATAGTTTGCTTGATTCAAAAAATTACTTAATCAGGTGTGACGCCAACAATTGGTAGAAATAATAGGGAATGAATGAGTGTTCTTACCATTTATTATCAGAGGAAGATGATAGGGGACTAATCCAGACAGAGCTGAGCTGATTAATTTAAAAATTAATAAAGAATAAAAGAACAAGCTAGAAAATAAAACACAAGTAAAGAGTTGTAACAGCTAATAATAATAATAAACAAATATAGAGGAGAAAAAAAAATCAAAAATACACTTCAAAGATAAAAAAAATTCCAGAGATCTTTGCAAGACAAGAGAGTATTGTTTACTCTTATGTTGGTCAACAAAGCCCCGACACTTTGATGGGATAATCAAAATAATATTATATTTAAAGCAAGCCTTAGAGGAAAAAAACTCAATTAGTATGAAGTGTATTTGTCAATAAGACTGGGACTTTGTTAAACTTTTCAATACAGGATCAGAATAGATTGTTAGTTTTTGTATTTGGATTTGGTTAGAAAAAAATGGGCACTAAGCACACATTAACCATCTGGACTAAATGGAAATTCAAATATTGAGTAAATTTACTGATGGGTAATATGTAGTTTATATTGTAAACAGGAGCTTGTTTTTAATGGCATAGTACAATGTGTTGACATTCAGTTTTGAGGAACAACTTAAATGTATAGAGTGGAGAATGTTGTTTTTCCACGTGGATTATCAAAGTAATTGGTGCTTCTAATCGCCAGTCATTCTGGTGATATGTGATATTTTCACTTACCAGTGGTGAGTCTGACATAGTGGAAAAATTGCAAATCTTCTTTTGGGAAGTAAGCTTGTACGAGCGATGCAAACAGCAACTTTTAATCAGAGTGTGCATGAGGAGAAATGGGCTGTTGCTTGCTCTCGCACAAGTTTAATAGGCGTTCCCTCTCGGGAGCGGGTACAGGGTTGTGTATGTGTATTTTTTCTTTTAAAGCGGAGAGAGTGGATCTTTTTCAAAAGTTTGGGAAAATCGTTCACAATACCTTTAAAAGAAATCACATACAGGACCAAGATCTGAAAAAAAACTGTGGAGACACGTTCTCCACAGTTTTTTTATGTTTTAAAGTAAAATGAATGGGAACACTTCTCAGGCTCGCTGGAGAGGCCTATGCCAAGGTGCTTGAGAGGAGATTCTGGCTGACTGTATAGTCTTGGCTTCAGGAGAAGCAGTGCGGTTTTCGTCCTGGCCGTGGAACAGTGGACCATCTCTACAATCTCTGCAGGGTGCTTGAGGGTGCCTGGGAGTTTGCCCAACCAGTCCACATGTCTTTTTGTGGACCTGGAGAAGACATTTGACTGTGTCACTCATGTTGCCCTTTATAAGTGGCCAGTGTTGTTTTTGTCAACGATGACAAAATTATTTTGTTGTTTTGTTTTTTCATTATGATAACGAGAACTGAGGAGCTAAACATGGATCTTTGATGACAAAAACATTGGTCATGGGTGTGAGTTTTTGTTGATGGAATGGGACTAAATAAAAATGTTAGTGGGTGGTCTGTCAGACGTTTATAAAGCATCATTGTGCTGTAATCTGCTAAGCAGTATCAGGCATGCTGTGGCCTGTTTTGTCATGTCGCCCACCTGGCGTGCAGGGGTGCACATGACCACAGATGGACCATGGCAGCGGCGGCAGGGGTGAAAATAAGCCGGGTTGGTCCTGTACTGCGCACTCAACTCTGACAAACTGTGCTCTTCCAGCTGTGCTTTGGCAGAAATGTGCCTTTGCATGTGCGTAGAGCAGAGTCTGTGCTTTACGCTCCACACTAATGGTTCGCTCTCAACGGTATGTCTCTTCTTGCTCTCGTTTTGTAAACTATATGGGGCTGATCATCCTCTGCCAATGATAAAAAATAATTTTGTCCAACTTTCAAGATTTGTTTTCTTCCAGCTCACAAGAGTTGATGCTAAACCTTCTTTAATTTCTACCAAAAGGAATCCCTAAATAATATCCAAAGCAAATATCTCATTGCGCAGTGTTTATTCTTGGATAAAGACTCAGATGAAAATGTACATGGATCTTTGAATATTTCTCTATCATAGTTCTTGTTTCTATCTATTTTTATATTTCAACATTTTAGTTAACATATACTTAAAATTTAGGTCCAGATTGCCATGGCATTACTAGGCAATTATGTAGTTTCTCAATGTATTTTTTTTCATATCAGACCCTAATGAGTTTAACTCATCAAGCGACAAACCAAGGGGCAAATCCTTAGGAATTAAGCCAACATTGCCAAATTAGAAAGAAGAATGTTTTTGTTCTTTGGTGTTTTGGAGTAATGAAGGTGTTGATCTGTGTGTAATGCATAACTCATAGAAGGTCAGGAAGTTTTTGCTTTTGGATGGAAAACCTTGTATGTTTAAAACCATTCCTTTATTGTACATTTTATTAGTGTGTCTGTCTGCTCTTTTAACCAATATGATGTGCTGAACTAGATCTCATTTTTTACAACTTTTGTGAGACACTTTATATGAAGTGGGGGATTAATTCATTAAAAAAAAAGTTTATTTGAATTCTAGTATCAAAGTTTTCTGCCCACCAGAAATTATGACCTGAATGCACACTGTCTGTATTCTAGTCAATGTGTGTATGGGTTTAGCTGTAAAACAGAAAACAAACTTTATTTTGACAGGTTGGAAGAACATTTACTGGATTATCTATCTAAATATCCAGGTAGTACTGTATTTGACTATTGCAAGGATCAGTGACTTCACTGATTCTTCAAGGGACTATCATCCAAAAAAGAGCATATACATGGTGTAACAAGAGTCAGAGCAGTCATCCACATCTAAAGACCCGAAAAAGCTAAAATGGATATTTATCCCAAACCACTTTCAGATTAAACAATTTATTTCAATCATAAAGAAGCAGTAGCTTAGGTTCATTGCTTGATAAAGCTTTATCAGAACAAAGGTCTTTGAAATATTTTCTGTAATAAGTGGTAACTTTCAAACTACAAACTTTTTTTTTTTTTTTTTGGAAAATGTTTTTGACAATACCTCTCTACCAAAAGAGGTTAAATAATGGACTTGCAGCACAGCCTAGATGAGATTTATAAAGCTGCACTAATTCTTGCAAATTGAGTAAATCCTTAGAGTTAATCTGGATATATGCAGAATTATCACTTTTGAAAATAAAAAAATATTAATAATTCAAATAAATCCAATTAAATTCAATTCAGTTTATTTATATAGCACCAATTCACAACACAAGTCATCATCTCAAGGCACTTTACAGTTCAACCAGATCATACAGTCAAATTTATTCAAAGTTTTCTATCTAAGTAAAACCAGTTGATTGCATCGACTCATTGACACAAATGCATGCTTGTAGCGACAGTGGAGAGGAAAAACTCCCTTTTAACAGGAAGAAACCTCCAGCAGAACCTCCATATATCAATATTAATTTAGATATAACAGCTTATTCTTTGTATTCTATTTTGTAAAGCTTTTGACTCCTTGGAGCATGATTGTAATTTTACTTCCTTAAATAAATTTGGTTTTGGTCATTCCTTTTGTAATAAAGTTCAGGCATTATACTCTAATAATAATAGCTCTATAAAACTTGCTGGTGGTACTTCCCAAAGACTCTATTGGAAATGTGGAGTGAGGCAGGGGTGCCCCCTATGCCATGTCTATTTCTTTGTTTCATGAGGCTTGTTAATTTACACATGAAACTCAGTTCATTAGAGGCTTAGTCATGGCCGACTGAGAAATATTTGTAAGTCAACTGTCAGGCACTGCTCTCCTTCTCAGAAATTGTTTACAGGTTTCAGTGACAATCAATAGTGTCTTGTCTGTTTCGAGTGCCTCCTGTCTTTGCTTTAATCTAAACAAAAATGTAAAAAAGTTGCTGATTTGGAGCCTCAATAGAATATTTTGTAATGTAACAACTCAGATGTCCTAAAATCTTCCCTTTCATTGTAAATAAAACACCAAAAATCCTTAATCATTGACTGCAATGAGACCCATCATTGGGGAAATCTCACATCTAACCTACGCTGCTATCACTACATATTGATAAACAACTCTTTGATAATTGACAATAAAAAAAAAAAACTAGATGTCTTTTTGTTTATTTATTTTATATATAGAACTGAAATCACCTACTCAAGAAATTCAGTCACATGAAGCTCCTATGAAAATCGTGTATTGAGGTTTCTTAATAATTCCATCACTGCAACAATGTTCAAAAACTAAGTGAGAACGTGGTGAAATACTTGGATTTATCCTTAATTTAAGAATGTAAATACGATTATCAGAAAAAGGAATCAGTATTTTTATCCTTAAAATAAGATAATTAGATCTTCTGAACTTAAAATTAGAGACTGCTGTTGTTGAGTTTTTTTTTCATATTCCATTCCATTCGTGACTTCCCGATCCACACACAAACCTCCTCCAGCTGCTCTGGGGGACCCCGAGGCGACAACGGGTCAGCTCAGAGATATAGTCCCTCCAGCATTTCTTGGGCCTTCCACGAGGCCTCGACCAGGAGGCATC